TTTTCTTTAAGCAGTTCATCAGCCCCCAGTCCTATTTGGTTTGACTTGTGCTAAGCAGTTTCATGTGCATTCGCTTAGCAAGCACCCAGTTCAGCAGCAGTGCTCCGTATATGCTTACTGCTGTTTTCTCTTAAATGTCAGGAAATGTTCTGCACACATACAACGGGATTGTGTGCAAGATGCATTCCTTGACATTGTCGAGAATGAGGCAGGCCACTGTGTGTGAATTATTGTGTTTTGTATTGTGGCTGCAATGTTGGAAAGGCCCCAACAAGGGGAATGGGATGAAAGCACACACAAAAATAAATTCTTTGTCTTGAGAATATCCTATATCAAAAGATTCTCGAGAGTTTTATATTTTTCTAAAGAGTATAAAGAAGGAGATTAACAACTGACAGAGCTAACAGAGGCAATTCAGAGTGAATGGGGAAACCCAGTCAGATGGGCAGGGTATAAATAACATTGTTGTTGTTAAAAAATAATAATATAAATTTTATTAAAAAGAAACAGAAGAAACAAGACAAACAACAAATAATGGGTATTGGTATGTGTATTAGTTACAAAGCAAAATAACATGTATAAGGCTGAAAATCATAGCAGCATGTTTAGTTAAATAACCATGCCCCAAAGATGTATGAATTACAGCAGGTCTAATTTCCTCTGTGTGAGAGTTAATAAAAGAAATAAATATAAAGCAATCAGCATCAAACGTTTCTTCTTCTTCTTCTTCTTCTCCTCCTCCTCCTCCTCCTCCTCCTCCTCCTCCGTGCATATTAATGTTATTGTACTTCTGAACATCCACACAATTTAACACTACAATGTATATTCAATTTGCAATTTTGCATCAGCATCCCTCGTGGATATTTCACATTTATTTATTTATTTAGCAAATGCACTGTTGCTATTATTGCAAATTCATCTGCAGCCTTCCATATATCCTTTGATATTGCTCTGCTCCAACTATAAATATGCCACGATACATATTGGATCATTGCACATCACAGAATCGGTGGGCAATTGTTCAGAGAAGCATTACCTCACCCAGGCTTAGAACCATAGAATTAAAAAGTAAGGAAGGACCTTGGAAGTTATCTAGTCGGACTCCCTGCAGAGAGCAAGGTCTCTGATACAGTGTCCAACTGAAACCTTCTATCTCAAGTATCTTCTCGAAGATAAGCCAAATGTTAATTACCCTGGCCGTGGCAAAATTTCTCTCAGAGGTAATAAGAAATAGAAATCAACATGCTCTGGATAAAACATAGTGACTGCCTTGGAATCTTTTCCCATGTATCTCCACTGCATTTTGCTTCCAAACATGTTTTTTGTGGGTCTTAGGACCGTAATAAAGAATGTGTACGTGTAACTACAGTAGACTGCTTAAATGCCTCCAGCAAAGGAGATTCCGCCGACCTCCCATCCCAAGGCAGTCTGTTCCATCATCGTTTACTATTTATTAGAATCATAAAACTGTTGAATATTGAAGGAATCTCAACATGTGGTCCCCCATCCAATTTGAAACCATGTAGGACCCTGCTTAGCTCTACAAATGTGCTAGCAGTTTTATTGGTGCATCACTAGGAGGACTTCTTGTTTTGATGTTTCTGCTCATATTTAGCCCAAATCTGCTTCCCTGCCATTCCTACTCCTTGGTTCAAGCTCTGCAACAGAGACCAAAAGTCTTCTGCATGACACCCATGCAGATGCTTGTAGAATGCTATCATATCCCCCCTTAACATTTTCTTCCCCAAGCTAAACATGCCCAACTCCCAACTCTTTCCACCATTCCTCATAAAGATTGGTTTCCACAACTTTCACCATCCTGGTGACCCAGCTGAAAGCAGAGAGAAATTACTTCCAAGTAACATAACTATGATTGATTTACAGGGGATTTAAAACTTGACAGCTGAACACCCTCAATTCATTTTGTTGGGATGTATGCAATTTTTGGTTACCAAAAGTCCTTTAAGTTATTAAAGAAAATATGTTTCCATTGTTAGCATTTTTTGGAGTCTCCCCATTTGCCTCAACAACCTAGGCCTTTATTTTAAATTCAGAGGCCACAATTTAGATATTGCTGCCAAGGCTTCTGAAAGGCCACCCAGATCGAAATTTTATTTTTAATCTTTTTGAAAACATCTGACAATTAACAATAGTTTTCATTAGCGTTGACGTAAGAGAACAAAGGAGTTATTTTCCTAAACTGGAGCAAAGATACATGTGCTCAGCATCCCTTCTACCCCTCAGCAATAAATCACTGATATTGTTCATATGAGGACGCCTTCATTCATCAATTTCCCTCTTTTTGGTCAATTTAAAATTTTGTTTCAATTAACTGGATTCTTTTGCCAACCCAAAAGAATTGTTGAAAATATGGGGCTGGCTTTCCCCCACTCCCGTGAAATGTTATTTGTTGACAAATTCTGCATTTTCTGCCAGAAAAAAAATGGTTTGGTTGGGATAATTCCCTGCAGGTCATCACAGTGATGTTCAATTTGAAGCAGTGACTCTGACAGAAAGAAAGAGAGAAAGAGAGAAAGAGAGAAAGAAAGAAAGAAAGAAAGAAAGAAAGAAAGAAGCATAAGGAGAACCTATGTGATAAAAGAACACAAATATTTACAAATGTGGAACTCCCAGCAGAAGAGGAGCATCACTTTTCAGACATCTTTCTGAAAACTGTATTGCTTAGGTGGGCCTTCATAACATGATTTTTTCTTTTCACCATTCAGTATGTACTGGTGTTCTTAACTGCACGTTGTAGATGTTTATAGGTTGATTTTGTCACATTTTATATGTTGTGAGCTGCGGTGTATGTTATGATAGAGCGGGTTATAAATTTTCAAATAAAGTATAATAAATACCTATGTGCTGGGTCAAGGAGCACCTTCAAGCTACTACCTGGTATTTTAGGAGAGGAGTAAAACCACTCATGATAGTCTGCACACATGTATCAGACAGCCTCCTCGCCAACACCACCTCTCTCTTCTCTCTTCAGAGTCTTCCAAGTTTCAGCCTCTACGCCCCATCTAGTTCTTCATGGCTGACAAACATTGGATCAGATTTCCACACAAATGCACACTCAGAAGGAAATGAAATACAGTGGTACCTCGGGTTAAGAACTTAATTTGTTCTGGGAAGACACAAGAACTTCCCACGCTGGAGGAATGGCAGATGAAACTGATGGACTATATGGAATTGGCGGAAATGACTGGCAGAATCCGTGACCAGGGAGAAGAGTCGGTGGAGGAAGATTGGAAGAAATTCAAAGATTATCTACAGAAACACTGTAAAATTAATGAATGTTAGAGTGATGTTGGATTGAAAATAAGTGGTTTCCAGCTGTACAGGATAAAGTTATAGATAGACTAAGATTAAAGATTAGGATTAAAGAAGTTTAAGGAAATGGAAATTTGGTATTTAAGAGGTAAAATTTTAATGTTATATTACAGTAAGATTAAAGATTAGGATTAAAGAAGTCTAAGGAAATGGAAATTTGGTACTTAAGAGGTAAAATTTTGATGTCATATTACATTAAGATTAAAGATTGGGATTAAAAAAGTGGAAAAGAAATTGCTGGACAAATAATTTGGACTGGAATACAAAAGAGGGAGGTATGAGGAAGTCCAGAAAATAAGTAAATTTAAAAACGGAAATGAAAAAGTGATATTGTTTTTAATTGCTCTGTTTCTTTTTTCTGCTCTTTGTTTTATTGTGTTTTTTTTCTTTTTTTGAATTATGTACTGTGTATTTGTGTATTTCTTTTTTATGTTTTTCTGTCTAACTTTTTATTGAAACCTTAATAAAAATCATTTAAAATAAAAATAAAAATAAGAACTTAATTTGTTCTGGAGCTCCGTTCTTAACCTGAAACTGTTCTTAACATGAGGTACCACTTTAGCTAATGGGGCCTCCCGCTGTCGCTGCGCCACCACCGCACGATTTCTGTTCTCATCCTGAAGCAAAGTTCTTAACCCGAGGTACTATTTCTGGGTTAGCGGAGTCTGTAACCTGAAGCGTCTGTAACCCGAGGTACCACTGTACAGTAAAAACACAGGACTGCGACAACTACAGTCCTGTATTGCCTGGAGGTAAGTAAGGCACAGTCCTGGGACTACAGATCTCAAGGGAAATATGCTCTGGCCTCTGCCACCAGCCAGGGGAAACAAGACATTGAGGGGCTGCATCATGGCAGGGAGGGGACAGCTTGTCACCATCCACCAGGCAGTGGAAGAACAGCTACTCCTATACTTCCTTTCTCTTCCCTCCCTATTCTTTATTTCTATTTATTTCTCAGTGTGTCTGTTAAGATCGTGAGCCTGTGGGACATCACTATCTTATCTTTTTTCTATCTACACAGGGCTTAATTTTTGTGTGTGGTTAAATCAAGTGTTAAAGAATGAAGATAAGGGGTCTGGCATTCTCTGCTAGTCTCTGGAATGGGCGCAGATAGAGCTCCCCGCCCATCTACCTCCATCGTTTGAGCGCTGCATTTGTTGTTGATACCCAGATTCTTCCTCTGTGCCACCAGATTGTTGGTATCTTGGGAGGCAGGCAGGTCAAATACCAACAATCTGATGGCACAGAGGAAGAAACTGGGTATCAACAACAAATGACCCACAGTGAGGGAAACCGGCAGTTTTGTTTTCCTTTGGTTGGTCCTCTAGTGTCACATGATTCCCAGACCAGGTGGATTTGGGCATCTGTCTAAATGTCCCTGCTGGAACTGCTTGTAGTTCTTTTCTCTGACTTGCAGCTCCAGTGGCACAGGAAGCCAGTGTTTAATTCACAGTACCCTCAGGGTAACCTCACAGCACGTGGTTGTCCAGTCTTTTGCTCAGTTATTGGCTATATTAGCTACCAAGCTCCCATCAGACCCAGCCAACATGGCCAACAGTCAGGAATTATGGGAACAGTCCAGCAACATCTGGAGGACCAAAAGTTTGCCACGCTTGCTACCAGCAATTGAATGGGCAAGTAAGCTGCGCAAAATAACATCTGAAGCAGGGGAAGGGTGGTAGCTCAGCGGCAGAGCATCTGCTTTGCATGCAAAAGGTCCCAGATTCAATCCCCAGCATCCCCAGGTTAGGGCTGGGAGGGATTCCTGCCTGAAATTCTGGAGAGCTGTCTGCCAGTATAGACAATACTGAGCTGGACAGACCAAATCTGATTCAGTATAAGGCAGTTTCATCTGTTCCTATGACAATTGTGTCATTGATAAGAAAACTAGGCATAGAAAATCCAGACAAGACTCTCAGAAACTTCTCTTGACATCTGGAAAATGTGAGTATTTGGGGGGGTACCTCAAGAGCAAAGGTTTGTCAAATCTTCCCTGAAATGAAAACTAACTTTCTTTCTTTCTTTCTTTCTTTCTTTCTTTCTTTCTTTCTTTCTTTCTTTCTTTCCTATATGGCCAAGCTTTTCTCTCAAGGGCTATACTGTAGCCATATAAATGGGTGAGGAGGAAAGCTAAAGTCCAGCAGGGAATGAGCAGGGTTGCATCATGGAAGGCAGAGCTAGACATTGAGTGGATTTGTGGCACAGCAAAGGAGTTTTCTACTGGAGCTGTTGAGCTGGTTTTCGTATTCCGTTCCTCCTTCTTTTTACTGGCGCTGATGGGAACTTGGAGCCAAAGAGAAGCTGGGATGAGCAAAGTGGAAGACGAAGCAATTCCTATTAGCCATCAGCTGAAACTACCCCATAAAAATTACTTTCCAACCCTTGGCCCTCTAACCAAAAGACAGACCATGAAGCACAGCCAGCTAAAAGAACCCATATATTAGATGGCAAACCTTGTACTATTCTGGCAACTGGGAAACTAAGTCTTGGTCCAAGACAGACTGATGATGTTGGGAGTGCTTCCTGTTTAAAAAAGATTTGTTGTGAAGAGTTCCAGAGTCTGACGTGGTCAGCGCCTGAAGGCACACAAAAAAGGAACAAAAACAAAGCGGCGGCCATGCTGTGTGGTCAATGGCTTTGGCCCAGATAGGATGGGTCTGCAGTAATTGCTGAAGAAGTGACAGCAAAACAGTAGGGACAGGGAGTGTCGCCTGTCTGCTTCCTTCATGTGCAACTACGTGACTGGGAAATGGGAAGGAGGGGCAGTTCCCAACTGCCCGGGGCAGCAGAAGTGCTTCAAGCTGTCTGTGCAGCATGCCAAATGAACCTAGTGCTGCTCCCAGCAAGGGATTTATGGCTTGGCTATGCTCTGTAGTGAACTGTTAAATATGCAGATTATGGTGCAAACTGAGTAGAGATGCGGCTTGGAGCCAGCGCTCCGAGGGCAGCGCACTGGAGGTCTCCCTGACTTATGATGTGTGTGGTAAATTGACGGCTGGAGATTCGGCTGCCATCAATGTGGGTGTCATGTGTGCTGCTGCTGTTGCTGTTGCTGCAGTGTATGCCGCATCAGGTAAACATTAACTCCAGGGCCCTTAACACGAAGGCGTTCTGAAGCACAGGGATGCGTCTTCTCTGTGGCAAAAGGGCACTGTCATTCTGATTTGCCTTGTCATTGCCAAATAACAGCATTAACTGCAGCCACGAAAAAATAAGGATGGTCCATTGCCCTTTGGGTCTCACTCTTCTGTCTATAAAGGTCTCAGATTGGCAAGCCCAAAGCAAATGAGCAGAGTCTAGTTTGTTCTGTTTTATTATGGTTGTTATGTGTGTTTTTATTGGTGTTTTAAAGTGGATTTAAAGGTTTTTTGTTATTTTGTATCATTAAAATTACAGATTTGTTAGCTGCCCTGGATTCCCTTTGCGAGGAAATATGAAGTATAAATCAACTGAAATAAAATAACTGCAGTTTTCTAAACCCTGACTCTGATTATTTGATTTAGGACTCGGGGGAGGGGGGGAGGCGCTATTGAATATTCTTTAACCCTATATTTTCTAAGATTTAACATTATAACTCTGGTTACCCATCTGTGGCTCACATGAACCCCAAAATACACATATTGAAACATGTGAATATCCCAATACCCATATTATACAATTACTGGTTTTCTAAAACTGTCATGGCTTTTCCTAAGGAATTCAGATTATAATCTGGGTAGATGCTGCAAATTCTCTGTTTAAAGTCCCTCAGCCTCCACCAGAGAAGTAATGGATGCTCTTGCAGAATGCTTCTTGAATCTGCTCATTCAACACCTGGCTAGCATGGGCTTCTTGCTCCCTCTTTTTGTTGCATTGCTTTCTAGTGCTCTATGCTATTAACTGGACAGCCCTCCCACAACAGCAGAAGATCACCCTGTGCACAATTAAAGGGTTAATTCACTAGGGTTAAGTCAACTAACCAAGGTTGGAGTAGCAACGAGGGAAAAGAAGGCAATCTTTGCTGAAGTGGCACATGCCCTACTTGGCTGTGCAGTTCTGTGGGATATCTCCCCACCCCTGTATGTTTGGTTGAACGTCTCCCTGCTAAATGCAAGACTTGAAGTAAGAAAGACAACAGCTCTCTGTTCCTTTCCAAATTAGATACTATTTTTGTTCAGCTTTTCTGAAATACAGTTTTATCAGGATTTCTTTTATCCTTTGTTATTTGAGTAACTTTGCTAACACAGAATAACTGGTGAGACCAATTACTAAGTCCTGTTCCATTATTTATAACCCTTACATGCAGATCAGAAATCTCATAATAACAGTAATAGAGGAATTGTGATTATTTGGCAGGAAAGATATTGTTTGATCTACTCTAGAATAAGAAATTGAGACTTTGACCTGGATGAAATGTTATAGCCAAAGTTCTAATTTATACATACTAGCTTCAGAGCATGAATATTTCCAAGAATTAATTTTTGGCGCTTGAGTTGACTTTGTTGCTATTTGTGTCCTTATTTGTGTATGAGAGAAATTCAGTGTTCTGCATTGCTACTTCAAGCTCCCGGGGGGGGGGCAGGTAATTTTGTCTGTATCCTCACCCATCACACTATTCTATGGGTTCTTCTGACCCCACAGAGACAACTGAGGGAGGGGCATTGGAGGGGAGGCCCCATTGTGCTTGTTGAACTGGCTTCCACCAGCACAAATGTTAAGTTGAATCCAGCCCTAAATTTTCTTGGCTTCTAGACAAAAATATACTTATGTCCTGTCAGACCTGAGAGTGCCATGTTTTGCAGTTGACTAAGTCAAATGCTCTTCAATAACCTTGTCCTAATCTTATTCTTCACCTCAATGTTGAAAATCATAGAACGTTCTCCTAAAGCCAGCTTTCCATTCCCCACCCCCCTCAAAAGCTTTGGATTTGTTTCAAAGCAATCATGAGTGTTCCCAGATATAGTTCTGAGGATGGGATCTGGCAGTCTGAGTCTTGGCTTTTAGGACTGATCTGAAGGAATAAGAATTTGCCAGGTTCAGAATGCTTATAAGTTTATAAAGAAGTTCAAGTTCAGGAGGGATATATTGATACAGAGATAACAGGATCAAGCAGGATCTGGGAAATGGATCAGGAACTGAAAGAATTGTGGTGCAGAAGCAGTTAATTCCCAGGACATGAGGGAAACCTGAACTAAAATGTTTACCTGTGATGTTCAAGTCAGTCTGGAGGCAAATCAGAACTTTTCAGACTAGGCCAGCCTGAGGAACATCAACATTCATATGATGTATTCGCAACAAACAGGAAAATCCTATAATTGGATATATAATAGCTTCTGGTTTGATCTAGAGAGGAACTTCTTACTAGTAGCAGCTTCCACCACGATCAACTTAACAGTGTAGCACTAAACCAAACTCAACAGAAAAGACGCCAAAGGAAAGAGGTGCCAGTTGTCTCCTGCCTGAACTGATCTTATGGGTTCCTACAGTGGAGATCATTATGGGATTCTGCACACTTCTTTTAATAGCAGCTTGCAAGCACATCTCCATTATTAGAGGATTCATATGCATCTGGTGGAGGAGGGAGCCGTTCTGCTGTTTTGTCAGGATGGTTAACATTTTGATGAGTTTGAATTCTTGATGTCATAAAGTTTATGGGTTTGTGTTGTTTTTTGCATGTGTGTTCATCTGGAGTGGGAATATGCTTCTTTGTAATGTTGTCTGAATTTCCTGTCTGCAACCATGCAGCATGTGAAGGAAGAATTTGGAATGAAGATGTACATTAAATGTGAAAATTGCCTGCTAATGATTTCAGGGGTTGGTTGTGTTTCATAGTTATGAAGCCACTAGCTAAAGGTTTGAAGTTTGACAGACAGGGAGAAATGGAAGTAAAAAAGGGGGGAAGCTGCAGTCCTTTCATCTGTTCCACTTATAGGAATGGACCAGATCTGTGAATTTGCATTTCTCAATTTTCCCAACTTGAATTCAGTTCTCCACATATCTGCAACAATTTGCAAAAAAAATTAATATACATAAAAAAATCCTCATGAAAATGTGAGTGTTTTAGAGTGAATTTCTCCTAATAAACACATTTTTGTATAGTTTTAATTATTGGGCATTTTTGCAAGCAATTTCCCATAATATAATGCATTTTAGAATGTTATTTTCATGTATATATGAATTTTTATGCACCATTTTCACTAATTTTGTGCGCACCATTTAGTTGCAGAACTGCATTGCAACATTTAGAGAAGAGCAAAGTTTGAAGGACAGTTGTGTTTCAGTTTTTTCTATTGTGTCAAGAAGTGCAAATTATGTATTCTTATTTTTATTATTGCGGAAACAAAATCAAATTTCTCTCCCATCCCTGCCTACTTATCTGAGGGCCCCAGTTCTCCATCCTACTCATCACCACTGTCACTTGTCCTATCTGCCCTGCACTGCGCTGCGCTGCACTGCACTAGATTGGGTGCAAGAATGACTGTGAAGCTGAGGGGATGAATTTGGCCTTTCCCTCTTTTGAACTGCTTCTCCTCTTAACAGCTGCCTGGTGCACAAAAATTGAAGCTTTCCTCATCATTTTATCTCCAGCCATGGAGGTACTTTGCTTCCCACAATAACTATGTAAAGACACAAGAAAACCTCCAAACTCATGCAGTTCTTGCATATATATATATATATATATATATATATATATATGTGTACATCTTCATTGATTACATCTTGAGATTCATTCAAAATTCAAATAGAAGGTTTGGTACCAATTAA